CAAAATTGCAGCAAAACTGCAAAAGGGAAAAAAAAAAGATTGCAGCAAAACTGCAATTAGACCAAAACTGGAGAAAAGCGTGGAGCTTTAATATCTTCTGAGCCATTTATTCTTTTGAACTGAAAACTTGTGCCTTGCTATAAACCGAGGGAAGTAATTAAGCTCTGCAAAATAATTTAATTTCTATGCTCGACCCAATTGACAGTCTTAGGGTTATTTGAATATCATCAAGCCTTCTGTATTAACTTCATTAAGTGTTTAAACTCTTTCAATCAAACGTCTAACCACCTGTGTAAATATTCATTCTAGTATTACATATTTATCTTCTGCTGACTTTTAAATAGAAAGTTAACAGTATAACTTTTTTAGAAATTTACAGTACAAAATGATGGACTTGAGGAGCATACATTTCAAAAGATACATGTCCCAAAAAGAATATGGTACTTAGTTTAGTAGTTACTTCACATAAATGAACAAGCGATAACGGCAAAAACAACCAAATAGTTAGCTACGAACTACAAAACAGCCACCATAAGTAATGCTGCAAAATTTGGCAAAGGACATCTAACTGTGTGGGAGCCTTATTCTGGAAGCTACAAGAACTAATTTGTAAAAGATTCATGCATATATACTATTATAATAAATACTGGTGGCAATACGGTGAGCTTCACATTCAAATGGAAACTGAGGATAATATTGCTTTAGCGTGCCTACTTGTTGATATTAAGGAAGTGTTGAAGCAGAGTAGCAGGTTGCTGCTTATAAATTTAGAAACTTGGTATCTAAGCCCATATAAAAATTAATGAAGAAGAAACCGATATGGTTAGTCAATGACGCCTTATCAGTTATCATTCCATGGATAAAAAAGAAGCACTTTTACTATACCGATACTAACTCTATAGTTTTAGTTCTTTGCCAAAAAAGGAAGCCTCTTCATCTGAAGTAGGCTCCTGGCTCATGAAATCCATGATAGGTTCTCTAAGTCTATAAATACTTTAATTTGCTGGGTCGATCTAGATCACTAAGAAGAAATCTTCTAGCATGGTGCATATCCAAGACTTTATGAGCAAAGGATATTTATCATAGTCCTAGACCAGGCAATTATAATATACACATACATGAACTTGTGCAAAAGTATTTTTTTCTATCAAAGAGATCCACTCAAAAGGTTGGTAATTTCTTCACATATAGTCAGAAGATCCACCAAAATTTGAATGTGTATTTAAAGGGAAGAATTATGTTTACTTGCTATTGTTAACATGATCTGAATAAGCATGGTACATACGCATCATTGATAAACCTTGGTAAAGTTCAAAACTTTACTTTTTCGTCAAGCTTTTATAGACCCTCTAGCTTATCAGCGGGAAACTGGAAGAAACATTCCACTATATTTTAAAATTATTCATTCAAGGATAAAATATCGATATATTTTTATCTATCCTTAAAGATTACAACAATAGGAACTACTCCATAATTCCAAATAAGAAATAAAGAAATAATTAATCATAAGAATATTTTACTTTAAGTTGACCAAAAAAAGTCATTTTATGAAGATCTAATTGCTCACCTTTTGGTAAAAAGTGTCTAATTATGTCATGCAAACGATCAAATACTCGCAATTTTGCCAAACATCGGATCACATGAACTATCTTAGCTTGCACTCGTTCTCTTCAAGTCAACCTCAGTTAAATTCAAGAAAATTTAACCTTAACAATGTTGGTATTTTAAGATCTGAAGTATGATAAAGACTAAAGTTTTGGGGGAAGGAAAAGATGATATATAGGGGAATAAATAAAAAGGACGCGTGCTTGTTGCTTCTAAAACCGGTATATGATCAAAAGATATGAAAGTTCTACAGTTATAGCAAAATATTCATTATTGACAAATGAGTAACTCTAATACAGCAACATTTATACCCCGTTTTGAAAAATGCACACAGATTGTTGACCAATTGGAGCAGTTCAACTTGGAATCCTCAAAATTTGAAGTTCCCAGGCTTTTTGTATTTTCGTTTAA